ATAGCCAGTGAAGTCGCATAACTTCCTTACGTAGCCTATTAAATTATATACATTTTGTGTTGTACCTCATTAAAATTCCTTGAATTATTTTGAATTTCATTTAAATTTATTTCTCTGAATTATTCTAACTTAAGTTACCGATTCCTCGAGGCAATTTGAAAATGACAAAAAGTTTCAAATATTAAAATTAAATATCCTAGTTAGTTTTTGTCATATGGGAGTCAAACTTCTTATATTTAATTTTTTTTTTTCATAATATGCATAAAACTATCCAATAAGTAAAGGAACTGGGAATCTGCATTAAAAGTTAGGTTTTGCTATTTGTTGAAAATTAATTTTGTTTTAAATTTGATCTTGCCAAAGCATGAATATTTTCATCATTTAAAACACTTCTGCTATTGGAAGTATATGAATGTGGCCAATGAGAGGAAATAAAGGCGGAGTAAGGACTTTTAAGCTGGGTAAGAGGGTGAGTATATATATGCTTGTTACTGCTAATCACAGTAAAAAAGGGAGGTGCATAACTATATGTTAAAAGTAGGCCAATATACATATATATGTACAAACATAACAAAAAATTCCTTTTGATTCCATTTTATAATCCGTTTAGGGGGGGGAATCCTTTATTCTGTTCATACGTTCCCCCCCCAAAAAAAACAGTCATACAAATGGTTTTGAAAATGCTCAAAAATGAATATTTCCATTGAAATATCACGATTGCACGATTTGCACGATTGCAATACTTCTTTTACTTCATATGAGGAAGTAAAAAAAAATGAAAGAGCATCATACTATATTATGCAAATAATGTCGAAACAACCAGAAATACTTTCATAATAATGAGTAAAAGTAAAATAACTGTGCTTTTATATAATTGTAATTTGAAGCCTTACATTTAATTAGTTTAATAAGTAATTTTCCAGTAACCTTAACTTATTATGTGAGCTTTTTTATATAAGCATTTTTCACATAAATCAGCTGTAACAAAGTGAATAATGAATGTCTTAGGTATTATATAAACTGAGTCAGGTATGAAGATAAAAATGATTCAAGAAAAATACAATAAACATTGCTTAATAGCTTAATCTCCTTTAAAAATAGAGATATATTATACAGTTTTGTTGCTGAGGTAAAACATTAACTTGGTACAAATGCAAAATGTAAAATTCGCAGACTTATCAAAACTTTGTCTTTAATTTTAACCAGAAAATAAAAATTTCCGTCACTTGCCTGCACATAAAATATTAGTAAATACACTTTTCCACTTTAAATTATCATTAAATAAATAAAACTCAGATGAAGATTATGTTCCATCCTTAGATCAGACATATTTTTTCAGACATGAAACCTAAATTCAAGCAGTTCCATATCTCCTGTATTATAATTGCAATCATAAATATATTTTATATTTATAACAACAGTTTTATTGCATATTAACATAATGTTTTATTAAAAGCTTGCATAGAAATTCTTGTTTCTGTAGTATCCTCCATTTAGTTTATCTGGTACTTACATATTAATGCAACCACCTTGGTGTCATTTGGTGATTTTTACAGATGAAAAGGTAGAAGTTTTTTTTTTTTTTTTTTTTTTTTTTTTTTTTTTTTTTTTTTGAAAGATTCCCAAACTATAAATATTTATACTCAGTGAACATTATCAACATATATGAAAAGAAAATGTACTTTAGCAATTTAAAATACAAATTTTAATTATTAAATAAAGATTACATGATACCTTAAAAAAATAAACATTTTCATCATCAAATTTTTCTGTAATCTTTTGTGCTATTCTTCACCTGAAGTATGCAGGAGATCTGTTTTCCCTTGAAAAAGATCAGAGAATTACAGAGACTTGGCTTCATGTAAACCTCGGCAACAGTGGCTGTGTAGGAAACACATTTGCTTGTTGTTCCCTTAAGAAAATGTTCAGCAAAATTCTGTTCAGCAAAAATTTAACTGAAGCTTCTTCCATTGCTGACAAATTTCACAAGCTCACATTTTAAAACTAAGACAAAAAATATCACGATTTGTTGATACAAACCATTGGAATTTGGAATACAACAAAAAAGAATGCGTACGAAAATAACAGGATTGGTTGGCTGAAAGATTGTCATGGTTGCCACAGTTTTGCACATTCTGAAAATTTGACGACTTCTACTAAGGTTGTTCCATTAGTATGTAAGTACCTTTTATATTATATATAATGCTATTATGAGGTTTTCCTTGATCTGTTAAAAGTTAATTAATCCCCAAACCCCTAGCAGCAATGAAGTGAATTATCGCTATATCTGAAAGTAACTACAGAGTCTGGGAATAAACCTTTTCATTTAAACAGAATTTAGAACATATCAACCACAGGTAGTCTTTATGTAACTAAACAGAATAGTTAAATCCAAGTTAAAATGTAGAATAGTAGCCAAAGACTACACAATTTAAATATAGTAGTCTAAGCTGGCTCAGTAACTCTACCAGCATTCAAATTCAAGTGTCAGCAACAATAATGCAATGCTGAATAATTACAACTTATGAGAGCTGGCAGGCCAGAGACACACTGTCTTAAACTCCAAAAATATCGGTTTAAATATTATCTAACTCCTTTACATTCTGGTGAGGAAATGGAAAGCAGAAGTTATAGCAAAGGCTGAAATTATAAATAACTGGTTAATTTAAATAAATAAAAAAAAAACTGTAACAAACCTTACTTATGAGATCCTATCTCATGGACTTCTTCAATTAATGGTGGAAAATGTGAAAAATAGATGGTACTTCCTTGTTAACCGTTTGATTGCTAAGCAATTCTTGCAAGAACGCACAAAAACTGCGGGACATATTTTGACTTGATGTTGTCAAATAAAACACTGTCATTTAGACAAATATAAATCAATTTTAATAATTCTTTTCGTATTATAAAGCAACAAAGACACATTGAAACTCGCAGTACTTTTTGCTCTGCGTCGCGGTTTTCGAGACAAATGAACGCAGCACTTTTGCACCATGTAGTAGTCAAACGTTTAAAGTGGCTACTGCAAGCAGTTTGGCAAAATGTGGTACATTTAAAATTAATTTGCTGGAAGAAAAAAAAAAAAAATAAATAAATAAAACAGTATGGCAACCTTCAGAAAATGAAAAACCACACTGTACAGGGGAAAATAACATTAATTTTTGTCGAGGCAATGATTCGCAACTGCTGCATTTTAAAATCAGGTGTTGATACTTTCTAATTTTCACCTATATATAACTCTGTATTATACTATCTGATGGAAGTTAATTCTTCGACCCCAAATTATTGCATTGACCTGAATATTAAGTAGCACCGTAAAATTTGAAGAAGCAGAAAAAGAGAAAAGTTGATTCCCAAATATAATTCGAGAAGAAAATAGCAGTAATCATTTACCAGTAGATTCAATGAAATATCATTACTAGTAGATAGATATGTACTAGTGTTTTATTATATTATAAATGCAGGGCATACAGAATACAAAATCTTTATTGAAAATTACAAGTTACAATTTTGTGCTGTTCTCTGGTAGCTTTCTGTTAACTTTCAACAATCCTATTATTGGATAATATTACAAATACTTTATCTTAACCATGTGGCCAGTTTTTAATATGGTATTGTTGCATTGTCATTATTTCAAAATGAGAAATTGGTACATTTTTAACTACATAGGGTATGATGAAATGTAATCATTTTTATAAGGTTACAAATATAAGCTGTATCCTTATTTTGCATGGTAGTAATTTGGATGAAATCTGCAGCTTATATTTGGGCTAATATGGTGTATGAAGTACAAATCCATAAGAAAAAGTATTCTGGAACTGTGAAACAAATTACAAGCACAAAGACGTTTTCTCCCGTCAGTTTTTCACTTGCATCTCAAAATACTTTACTTCCTAATAAACTGGTGGCTATTTTTGCTTTGTATACAAAATTCTGTGATCTTGTCTGGGGACATTACGTATTTTTTCGAAGCAAGAGAGGTGAAAAATGAGCAACCACCTTCAACCGGGAATCAAACCGACGACCTCTGGAATACGCACCCAGCGTGCAGACCACCACACCACGAAGGCATGAAAGTGCAGACCATGTATATATAAGGTAGAAGGCGGGAAAAATACCTTATATAATCCACCCTTTTAAAGGGCAGCTGGGGTTTTTAGGAGACCCAATCACCAAATCCTGGGTGAGGAGAAGCATCATCCACAACCATTTTTAATTCGGGCGTCAATGTAGAGACATATTTTTTGAAAACTAGAGACTTGAAAAATGAGCAACCGCCTTCGCCAGGAATCGAACTGCGGACCTCTGGAATACACGCCCAGTGTGCAGACCACCACACCATGAAGGCATGCCAAGAAGAAGGGAGAAATACCTTATACTTGAAGGGACCCAAAAAATACTGCTTCTTTTTCAGTTGACGGTAAGGTAAATATGATTAACATTTTAGAGAGGGAGGGCAAAGAATATGGCAGAATGAGCAATTTTAAAATTTTAAAGTGTTAAAAATGGCAGAGAATATGATAGAGTAAGCAATATTGCTTTTTTTCCCATTGAAGGAAAGCAGAAAGTTTCTAAAGTTTTGGAGAGGCAGAAAAGTAACTATATTGCATTTTCTACATATTGACCAAAAATGTTATTTTTTTTTTTTTTTTTTTCAATTGAGTATAAATTAAGAGTGACAAATGTTTTAAAGGAATAAAAATATTGGATCTATGTTATCACATGGACAACTTTGTAAACAAAACAGTCTGAAACTTAAGTATGTTGCATGGATCTGATGATTAACATTCCAATTTTGGCAACTGACCAAGGTGACTCTTTAACAAGGAAGTACCAAAAAAATAAATAACATTCTTAAAATAATCTAAAATTCAGAACATCAAAGAAATTGCACTGTAAAGGAAAATTATCGAAGCTTTTATGAAACAACCAGTAAACTTGTTTTGCTTTTTTTTTTTCCTTTCTTTACAATTTATTTTCATATACTTTTTTATTTTTAGATGTGCTGTAGCTAGAGGAACTTTGGTAGATTCCTTAGTACATAAATACAAGCAAGCATCAAGTGATTACATGCAGGCTGGAGAAGAAGTTGATGAAGATGAGATATATATTGTAACTTCTGCAATGAAGAAAGTTTCAATATTTTATAGTTGTCATAATTTAGGCCCATGGAGTATATGGGATAGCATTTACGATTTTTGGGTCAAAGGAGCTGTACAAGACAAAGGGCTACCTGAAGAAGTTGTCAAATATGCTATGTCTTGCTGTTCCATGGGTATCATGTGGGATCTTGCCATGCTGGATGATACTAGTCCACTACCCGTTGCCGTCGCAAGTCTTCGGAACCGACTCAAAGATTTTGTGGATACGATGAGAGATTTGCTAAACCATCCAACTGATACACTGGAAGAAGCAGCTTTTATCATTATCTGTGACCTCTTAATTGTGTTTTGTAAGCAGTTAGCTGAAAATTCTGGACTGACGCCATTAGTTTATGAACCTGATAGAACTCTTCAAAGTCAGTTGAGTGCATTTGTCCAAAAGAAGGTAAACTTTACTGCCTAAAAGATTTAAAAAATGATATATATATGTGTGTGTTTGCATAAATAGTACATTCTCGATTCACTGGGTAATTTTAGGGGTGATTCCCACATTTATTCTGATAGCTGTTAAAAAAAGGAATGGTGCTAGCTAAAAGTTTGTAAGGATCTTAAGTTTTACTAATGTTTATTTTATTTTAAATCTTTACTATCACTTCTTATTTTCTACTTCCGGCCAGAATTATAAGCGTGAAGGTTTTTATGCAAAGTTGTCTGGCGAACGCCAAGTATTTAAGTGTGGCCTTTTTGCCAAGCGAAAGAGAGAGCAGTGAGTTTCGAAGCAGGCCGCTTACCTTAGAAGTTACGCAGTTGCTATTTGCCTTCCAGGCCAGAGGTTTTAATCCTCCTAATAAATTAAACGTATTGTAGTGTTCACAGTCTCTGTGCTACATACGCTTCCTGTTATTATAAGGCCGATCTTCCACGTGTGTTATTCTAAAGTTAAATTAGAGTTTAGTTTTATTTTTTATACCTTTTACGTTAGACCCCGAGTGGAGGGTCATTGTATTCCGAAGTACGGAAGTCATTGTATATAAAGAAAAATAAAGGGTTTTATATACCCTTCGTCTGTATCCTGTCTACTTACTACAATTAGTGAACATAGCTTTAGTAAGCTCTCTGTTCCTAGTCAGGTCATTGTATGTTTCCGAAGAAGGTTAGAAGAAACATTGAACCTGATAAGTTATCATAATTAATAGAAAAATATCATTAATAATGTATCTATGCTTTAAACTATTTAATTTGGAGAATAAGTTCATTTCATTATTTAAGTTCAAAACGTGACAGGTAGTGATTTGTTTATATTGCTCTTGTATTTTGATAGGTGTCAACTAGAAACGGAACATTAATGGGTGTGCATGTAATATAATTTTGCAATTTATTTTTAATGGATAAGTTAAGAATGTTTATATATTTCAGATTATATACTGTTGCAGATAAAAACTATTCCTAAATGTTGTGACATAATCTGCTAGCACTGCTATTATCTCATGCATTTAGTACTTCTTTTTCTATTTCTTATAGAAAAGTAACAATAGAAAGGGTAAAAGTTTACAATCAGGTGCCCTTGATATTCCATATGCTGTCAGTATTGTTGGTATGGACATCACTTTCAGGGTCTTTATATGTGAGAGAATGATTCATTTACAAATGCTTGGAACCTTGATTACCTAGGCGATCATAGACTTTCAGATAGTTGGAGATAATAAGGGTTCCAAGCAAAATTTCAGGGATGTCACCTCCAGCAAAGTTTCTTTTGTGGAATCCTTCAGTATGATAAAAAAAAAAAAAAAAAAAAAAAAAAAAAAAAAAAAATCTTGCCAGACATACTTCTTTGTAAGAGCATGGGACAATGATAATTTAGAACCAGCCATCTAATGAAAACCAGTGATCAATTAACAACAGTTAAAATTCCCATAATTTTTAATATGTGATTTGTTGTATGTGATACACATAGACCTTGATCACGAAACTAAAAAGATCCAACCAGATTAAAATACATTGACATGTAAAAAAAAAAAAAAAAAAATGCCAGAAATGGTGTTCCAGAAAAATTGTCAGAAAAACGGCACTAGCACTGACATTTGGTACCAATCTAAGGGACACCCTTTCGTACATTAAAACCAAAATTCGCTTTATTCTGATGATTTGTGGTACATTACAAAGTCCGAAATCCGGACTAGCCGGGACTTCAGCGATTCCGGATTTGGGATTTTTCCAGATATTAGATCATCAGTTTTAAATCTAGTAAGATGGCATGTAGAAATTATAAAATTAAAAATATGAAATAATGAAGTATTTATGATCTGAAGGGTAGCAAAATTTACAAAAAAAAAAAGCTTAATATTTATTTGTTTACCTTATTAAACATTTCTTTCAATGTAAGTTGCTTGTTTTTTTGCTAATACTTTCTCTTTAATTCTGTAGACAGACATAATCTCTTGTTTAGTTACATTGCTGAAGTCTTGTAACTGCTATTTCGAGAATTCCGATTAACTTATCAATAGAAATTTTCTCGTTTTCAGTAACTTCTCTGTCACTTTCTTCGCTATTGGTAGCAGTATTTTCTAGATATAGAATCATACTACAGATTTCGCCATTCATTAATTGATTGATGATTCAGACGCATTGTCATTGTAATGGCTTTGTGGTTTAATAAGACACCATTTAGCAAGACTAAATGAACATTTATTAAAAATATGGTTCAAAGCATAACAGTTAACTCAGTGCAGTACATTGCTGCTACTGCAGGGCAAAATCCTACAACCTTCCTCTTCCGAGGCTAACATGCAACTCTCAGTAAATACATTAACCCTTCTTGGAGAAGAGCTACATGTGCCAAGCACACTCTGTTGATCACCAAACAGTCGCCAGATATCACACCCCCCCGTCGTAAGATTGTTGTTGATACTATTTACAAATCAATCATCAATCTGGGAACTAAAATCTAGCAACTGTTTGCGATCAATGAGAAAAAGAAAAAAAAAAAAAAAAACTACATATGCATTTATACATTCAACCCTAATTTTCAAATCTCAACTACTATAGACATTTGCAATGTAATACCTACAATTGCACATCAATTTACTACAAAACATATATAAACATAGGTAACACATTTTTCTTAACTTCACTCCCACTTGTTCCGAAACATTATTATTATTGTAACAATTTATCAATTCTTAACCCAAAGAAACCAAGTTGATATTTTTTCTTTTATAAACATGTTAAAATATACCCTAGTATTATTCCAATGATGACAGTAAAATTATTTAAGCTTCTTACTATATATATAAAACATTATCAAAATTTCTCTATTCAGGTAAAATAAATATATAATTCTATTCTTAACATTCTCTTTAATTAATGATGCTGCAGCATGATTTATATCCTTGGGAGACAAATATCTAAATTTACCACTTACCTCGAATATTTGTTATGCAATAATTTTTCTATCTATTTCAAATTACATAAACATCTTATTTGCACAAAATTGTAAAATTATTACGAAAAGCAAAGAAAAACTATCTAATTCTTGACTATACAAGTGAGAAGTCTGGATAATGCATCTGTGTTCGACAGTTTTTTCCCAGGGCAATGTTCTATCTCGAGATTATATTTCTGCAAAGCTATGGCCCATCGTTGTAATTTGGACGATTGCGGAGCATTTCTCACTATAAAGGCTAGAGGATTATATGATCAATCACAATTTTCACCGATGAACCGAATATCCAAGATTCAAACTTCTTCAATGCCCATACTATAGCATAAACTTCACGCTCTAGAGTCGGCCAGCTTTGTTGAGGTTTCGATAATTTCTTGCTCGTGTAGCACATGGGAAATTGTTTCTCCCCCCTTTGCTGTGATAGACATGCACCTATCCGATTTGGGATGCATCAGAATGAATGACAAACGGATCCTGCAGTGTTGGGGTGATCAACTCCGTTGACTTCGCTAATCGTTCCTTCAGTTGTTGAAATGTTGACTCATGTACTTCTTTCCATTCGAGTATTTCCAGTTGTTTATTTTTCGTGAGCTCCGTGAGTGGGTAGGCGATCTCTGCATACCCTAGGATATAATCGCGATAATAATTACATAATCCTAACAGATTTATAAGATCTCTTTTCGTTTTTCTCATTTTCAGCTTCTTGATTGCCTCTATTTTCTCAGGATCCGGTTGATGTTTTACCGATCCAATAATGTGTCCTAAATATTTAATTTGAGGTTTTGCAAACGAGCATTTCTTCGAATTGATAGAAATCCAAGTGACTCTAGTTGGTGAAAACTTTATCCAGATCTTGGAGGTCAGTGTCGAAATCCATGGAAAATATAGCTATGTCGTGAATATAGGCTCTTGAAAATTGTTGAAATTCTTTCAGCGCGTTATTCATTACCCTCTGAAAAGTTGCTGCTGCGTTCCTTAGTCCAAAAGGTAGCACTTTAAACTGATATTGACCTCGATGAGTTAAAAGGTAGCACTTTAAACTGATATTGACCTCGATGAGTTTTGAAGGATGTGTACTCTTTACTTTGCTCTTCCATAGGAATTGCCCAATATCTCTTCAGTAAATCCAAAGTTGTTATGACGTTGGCTCTTCCTATACTGTACATTAAATCAATGGCGTTTTGCATAGGAAAGTCATCTGGCTTCGTCACTGCATTCAATGCTCGATAATCTAGACACAAATTCAGAAGTCAAACAACAAAAAATCAGCGTTATATTTAAAAAATTTTCACAGGACTAGTTTCGATGGTTTTACCGAACCATCATCTTCAGCTGCAAAACCGCAAATGAACAAGATAGGAAATAATGTTTAGATAAGATAAGAAAGCCTGGACAAGAATAAGCAAGTGGCGCCATCTGTTGGCAAAACCAGAACTAAAACATAATTTCTCTAAAAGCCGAAGGCAAATTTGGATTGGAATTAGGATCGTTAACTAGAACAGAAAGATTTTTTATGAATGTTGAAATGCCTCTAGAAAATCCAGTTCTCCAATGGAAGATGTTTTTTGAATAATTTTGGCAGCAGAAAAATTGTGAAAGTGTGATTTTCGGACCAACAATGCTGAGCAACAGAAGACTTCTGTGTTTTCCTTTTTTCTAACATATGCCTCATGTTCTTTGACGCGAAATTTTAAGGCTCTCTTAGTTTGGCCAATGTAAATTAAACCACACTGGCAAGGAATCCTATAAATACCCCAGGAATTCATATCCGGAATGGGGTTCTTGAGTATAGAAGTTGGAATTTTATTGATGGGAGAGTAAACAACCCGAAAGTTAAATTTCTTCTGCAAATATGTGGCAACTTTATAGCTAATTAATTGATGGAAAGGGAATGACAACAGAATTTTTATAATCTCCTAAAATAAGAGTGTGGCTTTTAGTGTGTTGAGATGAGAATTTTTTAACTGCTTGATTAATAATGTTGGGTGAAAAGCCCCTGTCAA